GGCTTCATCACCAAATGCAGAAATCAACCGGTCAACACACTGTTTTTGTGTTAAACCACTTCGAAAGTCATAATAAATAATCGCTCTTGAATTTTCTCCAGTCGATTCCATTTTCTCAACGACTAAACAAGTTTGACAAAACCTTGTGACAAGACCGAGAATCTTTTTTTTTAAATAAATAAATGGTATTCGATTTTTAAAACCAAGGACTTTTCATTTAAAAAGATTTTAATATGACAGGAACAGTGGAAATATTCCATTCCCGATACTTTTTGTGCAGCCTATGTATTCTATAAAAAACCAATGATATTATATTATACCGTTAGCGTGACTGCTGATCACTAACCTGGGTTCGAATACAAGTTCGAGCCAAACCACTTATTGGGTTTTTTGTCAATTCTCAGTAGCAGTAGCAAGAGTCAAGAAGTTGGCTGTATTTTATACCCGCGCCTGCGGCGGCAATCACGTCCCATGAATAGATTCCACAACTACTTTATGTTTTTTCATTAGCCGACTTCAAAAAAAGGTTTTAAATTATTATAATTGCGTAGAAAAACTTAAAATATTTTGTTATTATAGGTTCAAATTGTTTGGAAATATCACAATAAGTATGCTGTTTTTAATTACCTGGTACTGCCGGATACCAAAATTTTTTTTTCTTATATAGGAGAGGGGGCAAACGAGCTTGCGGCTCACCTGATGGTAAGTGACTACCGCCGCCCATGAACAACCGCAACACCAGGGGAATTGCAGATGCGTTGCCAGCCTTTTAAAAAGGAGTAGGCTCTTTTAAATTATTATCTGGTGCCCGGCCGGATCCACCTGATACCGGCTCCAAACCGGCAACACATCTCATCTCAATTTAGACGACGTTTAGATTGTGATATTCCTTAGTCCACTCAAAAGAGTAAAAAAATAACTTTTAAAGAAATAAAAAGTAAAATCCTATGATAAACATAAACGCCTTCTTTGCTTTGAAATTCTATTTTTAAATGCCGCGTAGAATAATATAATTAAAAAATTATATTATTCTACGTCATTCATCATGCGTACAACAAAGAAGTGGAATAAGTTGCCAGCATCTGTCTTTCCATCCAATTACCATGTGGGTGTCTTCAAGGCAAGAGTAGGCTTTTGCTAAGTCAGTCCGTTTCACCATCTTAGACTACATCACCACTTACCATCAGGTGGGGTCGCAGATAAGCGCTGGCTTAGTAGAATATTAAAAAATATTATATTGTGTCGAACGAACTTTTTGAAGGAGTATTTATTAGGCGCTTTTCTGACGTTATTGTTATGAACTGTAGGAGCGCGAGGGTGGGCGTTTATCTACATAGTCCGCGCCTTGCGCCACTTCTGTATATAAATACAGTTTTAGATAATACCTTTTTTAAATCCAGCACGGAACAAGTTTTTTTTTAATAAAAGAGAAGTGAAGTGTTAAACGTGATAGAGCCATGCTGAAGCTATATTAGTAGTATAGTTGTAGCACGAATGGGTCGGCTCGACCGGGGAAGGACCACGCTCTCACAGAATACCAGCGTAAAATAGGAGCTTAACACTGCTGTGTTTCGTATGGTGAGTGTAGAGAACCGGAGACCCTTTTTACTGGAAAAGAGGCATTCCATCTTAGTCCTTACGGGTGATAACGCTTCTGCATATTGAATCGCAAACGAGGATAGATGTAGATGTCTATGGGCCACAGCAACCACTTACCATCAGGTGAACTGTGTGCTCGTTTGTCACCCTATCCTATAAAAAAGTGATAACAGAACTTACAGTCCAACTGATGGTAAGTGGATAATCTAGTTCACCACCATACAGAACACCTTTAGCCAACTTCAAACAAAGAAGACTACAGATGCATCGTCAGCTCTAAGGAATAACATGGAATACCGCGCAGCCTGTACTTACACTAACTCTCTATATACCTTTCAAACCGGAACACGGCAGTGCAAGCACTGCTATGCAGAAGGACTCCTAGGCAAAAAAGGAGTTCTACCACCAAGTAAGCATATTTATATGGCGTATACAAATTATCAGGTAAGGAAAAGTTGTAAAGCCACGCTGCAGCTATATGATGAATGCATTACGAATGACGTGCTCAGCAGAGCGGGACAGTATTTCATGCCGGCACACCGCTTGCAAATTTACAAGGCGCAGTGTCGGCCTCACATGGAATACTCTTCCCATCTCAGAGGTTATGCATCTGTAGACTTCTTTATTTGAAGTCTGTTGCAGATGTTCATGAGCTACTTATTATCAGGTGGACTGTATGTTTTTCTATCACTATTTTATGTAATTAATAATAAATACTTAGATGTAGGTTAGGTTAGGTTCCCCTATGAATGGGTTCCTGCCTTGTCGTGGCGGGGGGATTAGTAGCCGTGGTTTAGTCACCCACGGTGAATAAAAAGGAACCCACATGGCTGGCCCGAAGTGAAGGGCCGGCCCGAGGTGGCCACTCCAAGTGGGCTTGACGAGCCCACTTCGGATGTGTGTCGGTGAGCTGTGGTGAGAGGGGTGTCCGCTCCCTCTACCGCAATGACGATGTGCCACTCGCCCTATCCTCCGCGACTCAAACGAAGCCGCACCGTTGATGCGGTGGTGGTGGGGCCGCGGGGGAACAGAGTAGTCGGTATTGCGAGGCGCCGCTCTCCCTACCCTCCGCGGCCGAAACTTGGTTGGCGGCGGAGCCAGAGACCAGATCCGCCGCTGGGGTCGGGAAAGCGGGCGCTACTAAGCGCTCGATTTTCCTGGCCCCATGGCCTCCGCGTATCGGACTGGAGGGGGGGGTCCGATACGCAGGTGGAGTTGAAGGCCGTGGAGGGACGTAGTTGAACACGTCACTACCCCGTGCAGGCGAGTACGAGACGAGGCCCGGACAGACCGGGCCAGCACTAGTGTGGGGTTGCGGAAGAATTTGGAGGCACCGGGGTGGTTTAAGCCGGTAAGAGTCCGGTACGCCCCTCCGCCTTTCCCCACGCGGAGGTAGTCTATGAGGATTTCCCCCCGTAAAAAAAAGGTTAGGTTAACTTAGATGTCCCGTGTGGAGTTTCTAGAGCTCCCATCGGGCGCGTCCCCAGGTGGAGGATAGGGGAACGCCACCCAGATATGGGTGGTAGCGGGAAACCGCCGCGGACCAAAACTTGTCGGAGTTGGTTCCATTAGGACTAGAAACGCCCCGGGCTTAATGCCATAAGAGATGGGCCTTCACAGGTTTGTCGTTGCTCCGAGTATCGCTCTTTGATTAGAGCGAACAGGGGATGCAACACACGCGGCGATGTGCCAAGCGCACCGATTCCAGGCGATCTCTGTGCGGCGATGTGCCAAGCGCACCTATGCCGGACAATCCGTAACCCCACTAGAGCCCGGAGGCCCCGCAGGGCCACGAGGAAGACAACCTCTTCAAAAATAACCCTAATCCTAAGGTCTAAGGTGCCGATGGGATGAATGGCTGGGGGGAACCCAGTCCCAAGCCTATGGGAGGGGGCATTCAGGGACCACACCCTGTAAAAAAGGAAAACTATGGGGGGGGGGGGGCAATCCGCTGTATTGTGGTGATGCACCAGCGTGTCGGAAACACCAACAATATCGGCACGAGACAAGCGTGGGCATTTTAAGCGACCTAACACTACGAGCAGTCAGGCCGGTGAGAGCGACGCCGCTGGTGGGTCTGATAGTTCGGTCGTGTCGCTCACATCGGTAGGAGGTCGAAAACGGAAAGCGACGCCTCCGAGTACGTCGGTTGTGGCGGCTAAATTCAAGGCGGTCCCAGTTGCAGCCTCTGGAGGAGAGAGTGCGACTGGGGCTGAAACAGAAGAAGACCTGTTTGTTCCTTCTGTAACACCCACTAATACCAGGGCAAAGGCCCGCGAAATGCGTTCTCACGAAGACGTGGAACTCGGTCAGGAAATTGATTTTCACCTCCAGGTTCTAGAAAAAGTTGCCGATCGATCCCGTGATCTCAAAAGAGAATATGTTCGTGGCATAAGGTTGGCTGTGTGTCATCAAAGCTGCAGGAGAAGAACACGCGCGAAGGACCGTCTCAAATAATAACGTCGCCAGGCTGGTCTTTCGACTAAGATGGAAAGACTTACACAAGAAATTAACCTCCTCCCCAAACAGATGCAGGAACGGTCTATCTTGCCATCACAGTTAGTACCTGCTGCATCCAAACCTAGTAGAGGGAAAGAGGAGCTCATGGCAGACATAGAGGCTCTAATAGACAGAAAGCTGGCGATCTTCCATGCCAGATTAATTCCTGAAAGGGCATTAGCCAACTAACAGCTGACACCGCGGGAACAGCTGCCATCGTCAATGAGAGCAGGACGTCCGCAGTCGCAGCCACTGCCATCACCACCGCAGCCGAAAAAGAAAAAGAAGCAAAGGGTAAAGAAGAAAAAGGAGCCTTCCCATCTGTCGGTGGTAGATCTGCCTCCAGTGGCTGCCCTGCCACAGCCGCACAACTCGCCACCGACGATGGTAAGCTAAGGCCAAAGTAAAAATGGTCTACAGAAGTGGCGGATCTTACCCCTTCTCCAAGAGGGAGAAAAAAGAGAAGGAAAACTGAAATGCGTACGCCAGCATCGGAGGCTGTTACAGTAACGTTACCTAAGGACTCTGTACTCATATATGCCAAGGTAATGGTGGGGGCAAAGGCCAGGATCCAATTGGCAGAGTTGGGAATCGACTCCGTTCGCCAAAAGCGAGCTGTGACAGGGGGCTTACTACTCGAAATTGCGGGACATGATTGCAACTCAAAGGCGGACAAGTTGGCAGCGAAACTGCATGAGAATTTCTCTGATCTGAACGTCCGAATTAGTCGCCCAATTAAAATGCGCGACATTCGACTGAAAGACCTTGACGACGCTGTCAGCCCTGTGAGAAAGCAGCCGCGGTCGTCGAGTTGGGTGGTTGTTCGGTAGTCGACATCAAAGTTGGGGACGTCCGCCGAACCTCCACCAGCATGGGGACCGATAACGGCGGTCCGAAAACTAATGGCTGAAGGACGTGTACGCATTAGCTGGGGTTCAACTCGAGTAAAACTACTGGAGTCCAGGCCTATGCACTGTTACAGATGCCTCGAGAAGGGGTACGTCGGCAGTAATTACCCTAACAAGGCAGACAGGAGCACCCGCTGCTATGCCTGTGGCGAACCCGGTCATAGAGCAAACCAGTGCAACGCGTCGGTCCTTAAATGTCCAGTCTGTTCCGACCTTGGGCGTCCATCCAACCATAGGTTGGGAAAAAAGTGCGCTCAACCTGCGAAAAAGAGAGTAAGGTCTCCCTTACTTTACTCTCGTAAATACCCTCCAACTCCCTCCAGCGATACGGGCACTGCAGTACCTGTTGCTGCACCGAGCTCCGACTCGGCAATGGAGTTTGATGAGAATTAAAATTCCTCTCAAAGTCCTCCAGGGTAACCTGGACCACTGCCGCAATGCGCAACATCTGCTTATGCACACCATTGTGGAGGGGCGGGTTGCCCTTGCAGTAGTAGCGGAACCCCATGCCGTTCCCAACTATCCTCGCCAGTTTGGCGACGAATTGGGTTCCGTAGCCATCTACTGGGGGGTAGTGATAGTGCTCCACCCTGCGCTCTCCTATAAAGAGGGCAAGGCTTTGTCGCAGTGCAGTAGGGCACCCTGGCAATAGTGGGCTGCTATGTCTCTCCTAATAGGACCCTCGCTGACTACAAGGAGTACCTGAACCAGGTGGCGAATTGCATTTGATCGTCCTAGGATATTTTAACGCCCATAACAGGGCTTGGGGCAACTTTAGGGACGATCCAAAGGGAGAGATCGTAATGGATTGGGCGGCTGATCTGGACCTTCGACTACTAAATCGGGGGTCCGAGAGTACATGTGTGCAATGGCAGGGGGAGTCCATTGTAGACCTCACATGGGCGACTCCTCCTGCAATGCCAATACTGTCGGGATGGCGAGTTGCGACAGAGGTGGTAAGTTACCATTACCACTGGTAACATTGTCAGACCACCGCCACATCGTGTTCGATATCGCACTTCGCCACTTTAACAGTAATTCCAGTCGTCAAGAAGGCAGCCCACTGCGGCGTTGATGTCTCAGGCGGCGCGACCGAGACAAACTCGAAGCCGCCGCCTTCATCGCGGCCTGGCCAGAAATATCCGAAGAGGTTCCGCTCAATCCGGAAGTGGAAGCAAACTGGTTCCGGGCTACGATTGCGCAAATATGCGACGTCTCGATGCCCAGAACCGGTCGTCCCAAGCACAGGGCGGTGTACTGGTGGTCGGCAGAAATCGCACACCTTCGTGTGATCTGCTTGCGGAGTCGGCGCCAGTACAGAAGAGCCCGAAGAAGAAGGTGAGCTCCACTTGAGGAGACAGCCAGACTCTACGAGGCATACCAAGCAGCTACAAAGGTGTTACGAATTGCTATAACTAACGTCAGGTCTCGGTCGTGGAAAGAGCTCCTAGAGGGACTCAACGAAGATCCCTGGGAGCGACCGTACAGTATGGTGCTGGGAAATCTCTGGCCCTGGTTGCCACCCTTGACGGAGACTCTCGATCCAGACCTGCTGGGAAGAGTAATCAGCACGCTTTTCCCATCGGACCGGTCAAGTCCCTCAGGTCACCTGCCGTCGTCATTGGAGTGGCATGATGAGATGGAGGTGACCGTGGAGGAGCTGGACCGAGCCGTTAGCCGCTTGAGAGCGCGAAAAACCGCGTCGGGGCTTGACGGAATTTCTGGACGGGCTCTGGTGCCGAGTCTGGCTACATTGGGGGACAGGCTAAGACTGCTATTTACCAGCTGTCTGCGGAGCGCCACGGCATGGAAAGAAGTAAGGTTGGTCCTCTTGAAGAAGGAAGGCAGGGCCGCAGATTCTCCCTCTGCGTACCGTCCTAATCCTATATGCGTGTTGGACGAGATTGACAAATTGTTCGGAAAGATAGTTGCCACTCGGCTCAACAGACATCTGTCACGCGTCAGTCCCGATTTGGCTGATAGCCAATTTGGATTCCGACGGGAGCGTTCCACTGTAGATGCCATTATGCGCATCCGCTCCCTGTCGGAACAAGCACTATCCCAGGGTGGTGTGGCGTTGGCGATAAGTCTTGATATCGTCAACGCCTTTAACTCTCCACCCTGGGATGCAATAAGGAGGGCATTAGCACATCACCAGGTACCTACCTACCTGCAAGACGGAATCGAGGACTACTTGCGTGATAGATATATTCTGTACATGGGGCAAGATGGTAGGAAGATCCGGAGGGAGATCAAACGTGGGGTTCCACAGGGCTCAGTGCTGTGTTCACTACTGTGGAACCTCGCGTATGATGCGGTTCTGCGTGTCTTCCTGCTGGCGTAAATATCGTGTGCTATGCCGACGACACACTGGTGGTGGACAGCGGGGTCACTTTCGAGGGGATCAAGGTGCTCGCTGAGCTTGGAACCAAAGTCGTCGTCGCCAAAATCCACGAGTTGGATCTAGAAATAGCGCCTCATAAGACCGAAGCCTTATGGTTTCACAAACTACCTCGGAACCACCCGACTCGTGCGTCTACGTAGATGGGTCTGTAGTCAGAATGGGGCGGTACATGAAGTACCTAGGGCTCCACTTGGACAGTTGCTGGGGCTTCGAAGAGCACTTTGAGCGCCTAGTCCCCCGGATTGAGAGGGTGGCGGGTGCTATGTACAGGCTGCTGCCCAATCTAGGGTGACCGAGGGAGGAAATACGCCGCCTCTATGCGGGGGTAGTGCGGTCCGTAGCCTTATACGGGGCACCTGTGTGGGCGAAAAGGCTATCCATCCGACGCTGTAGATCTAAAATCTACAGTGTCCAGCGGAGGATGACTATACGGATCGTGCGAGGATACCGCATGATATCCTTTGAGACGGCAACAGTCCTGGCTCACTTTCCACCCCTAGATATACTGGCGGATATGGATGCGAGGGTGTACAAACGAATCCGCATCCTCCGTAAGAGAGGTGGCAGTGAGCCAGATGAGGCGCTCGAGTCCATAAAACGACAGGAGCGACAGAACGCTTTGGCGATACGGCGCACTCGACTCAACGAGGAGCACAATGCCCGCAAACGCATTATTGGCGCAATCCTGCCGGTGTTCGAAGCCTGGATGCAGCGACGAGTAGGAAGACTCACCTACAGACTTACACAGATAATTACCGGGTACGGGTGCTTCGGTGATTATCTGTGTAAGATTGGACGCGAAGCGACGGCGAACTGCTTCCACTGTGGTGGAGAGGACCAGGACTTCGCGTCCCATACGCTAGCGGTATGTCCAGCGTGGGAACGGGAGCGGACGATCAAGGCGAACCGGGTCGATCAGTACCTCTCTCTGCCAGCAGTCGTGTCAGTGATGCTGAGGGACTTGGCGTGGAGGGCCGTAGCCAACTTCTGTGAGTCCATGATGGTGCAGAAGGAGGCTGCTAAGCGGGATCGGAGGAGGACAGCTCCCACTCGGAAACGACGCTAACAAGGCGTTCGTCACGGCCTTCTCCCATTGAAGAAGATGATGTTCCCCTACCAGAAACGGGGCCTCTGAGGTTGCAGGCGTTTGGAGCAGGGTCTCGAATGCCTAGTAACGTAACCGCCGAGGAGGACGATGGCTTGGAAGTGGTCTCGAGATATCGTGATAGCACTGCGAGGGTGCTGGGGGCAGCAAGTACTGCCCTCGGGACGTGCTATTAGTGTAGCAATGCGATGGAGGGGCCCCGGTTGCGTTCCTAACGGAGATCCCGGGACCCCTCGTATACGCTGATGGTGACCACCGTAGGGTTTTAGCCGGTAGGAGTCCGGCATAACCTTCCAGTTGCCCCCGCAGCGGAAGGCATCCATGAGGATATCCCAACGAAAAAAAAATTACCTTAGATGTAGGCGTCTGAGTAACAACATCCACTTACTATCAGGTGAGCTGTGCTTATTTGCCGCCTTTGCATGCATTGTGTTGCTCATACTACCACGGTGGGAAGTTGAATAACTAAAGGCAGGGCCTGATACATTGGCACTGGTGATGTTGCCCCCTTTTATTAGTCTGTAGAATTCGGGTTCGACATTTTAACGTTTTTCCTCCATCAGCCAGAATCTCGTATATCAGTCAGCTGGGTGCAACACCATTTACAGCTTCAACCTATTCAGAAGTTGCCGCCATGGCGGAATTTGGCTAGTAGGATATCATTCGTTACAGACTATTATTAGATAAGTCCACTGCTGAACATAGACCTCTCCCAAAAATTGTCCATAGGGGATATTTTATATTTCATCAAATATCTAAAAATCCATGAAGAATTTTCTGATATAGTAAATGGAAGAATGATAGGTTATTTTAAGGTCTTTAATAAAAAATAAAAAACATTTCGTATTTTTTTTGTTTTAAATAAAAAAAATATTTTTTTAATCGCCGTATTAAATTAGTATGATAAAAAAACTTCATATCTTCATATAAAACTATTAATATTTATTAATATTGAAAAAAATCATATAAAATATAATTATTAATAATCAGTGTTGCCACCTCTTACATTAATTACACATCGACATCGATTGTTCATACTTAAAATGAAATTGTCAATGTCTTGCTGCAGTATGAGGTTCCCAAAGGGGCCTTCTTTGCAAGTGTGTTCGGAAAGTTGTTGTTCCGCCATCAAATTTAGCGGAAAATATCTCAAAGCTTTTCGTTATAACATGTCCCAGGCATGTTCGGTAGGATTTAAGTCGGGTGACTGTGCAGGCTATTCCAAAACTTGAATATAGTGGTCTCGGTGAGCGGCCGACACCAGCCGCGCCGTATGGGGGTATAATGCTCCTTATCGTGCATGAGTAGAAATTCCTGGCACATTTGGATTCTGTGTGGGACAATAACAGGCTCTACTACCGACTCGTGGTATTTTTGTGCAGTCATGCTGCCTTGGATCGAAACGGGCTAGGTCCGTCCGCAAGACGAATTCCTGCCCACACCATGATTGTCCCGATTTGGTATGAGAGGACCTCCTGAGGGTGCCGTAGGCTAACTCTCCCTGGAGTTCTCCAAACGCGTGTTCTTCGCGAACCCGGATGAAACCCAAACCAAGACTCATCGTTGAACAGAACCAAAGACCATTGTTCGTCACTCCATGTACACGTAGCGGTCTTGGAGCATGAAGACCAACTTCATGCAACCTTCTTCACACTGTTTGGTCGCTTACCAGCAGCTGGTGGTCTTCCTTGAGCCTTTGTAGTAGTTGCATCGCTGTGATATTGAGTTGTCTTCTGGCGGTCATTTGGAGAACCCCGTATGCCGTTCAGTCATATCCCCAGTGCTGCGATAACGTGACCACAACCTTGATATCATATTTTGGCCGGTATGTAGAGCCTCAGCAACGACGCGTATAATAATCGCTATTCTCATAAATATATAATAATATAAGAATAGCAAAATATTCTAACATGCTCACGGCTCGTAACATTTCATCTCGACTCAGATGACGACGTGACATGACTCTTAAAGCTCACACGGCATGTTAAATTAAAAACGAAAAACAATCTAATCCCTTTTCATTAATTAATATCAGTAGAACAATTTAAATTGTTAATGACGTAACCGATTACTACGCGATATTTTGCTTTTTTTATTTATATTTTTAAATTTTGAAAATAGAATAAAAGAGGTTTCAATCTGTATATATCGTAAATAATTTAGGATTAAGGTATCCCTAGATTCTGTTGTGTGTATGAAAATCAAAAACTGAACAAACTAGCAAGTGATTAGTTTCTTTTCAAAATAGTGTCCATTTACATCAATACATCGCTGCATCCGATGGAACCACTGAGAAAAGCACTTTGCCCACTCGTCCTTAGGGGTCTCTACTACGGCATTTTGAAACGCAGCCACTGCTTCCTCGGCGTTCATAAAACTTTTCCTCGAAGTTTTTCTTTTATTTTCGGAAATATATAAAAATCGCAAGGTACGAGTTCTGGGCGATAGGATGGGTGACTCAGTAATTCCAGGTCTGAAGTCGCCAAGTAGTCGATGTTTGGTTGGCGGAGTGCGACGAGGCGTTGGTGTGGTGAAGGAGGATCCTGCTGCGAGGTCGTTTCTCCCGAACTTTTTCCAAGACACGTGGCAAGCAATTGTTAATGTACCACAGTCTGCAGTAACTGTTTTTCGATTCTCTAAAACAATTGTTGCGTAATGACCTGTCCTTCCGAAGAACGAGGCCACCATCTTTTTCCCACGCTTCGACCTTTCTTCACTTTAGTTGACAACTCCTCGGAAGGAAACACCCAGAGAGCAGACTGTCTCTTAGTTTCAGGATCATAACAATAAATCCAACTTTCGCCACCCAACCAAAGTATGTTGAACACATCATTTGAGTCACCTCCGTTAAATCTTGGAACCATTTCAAGACACCAATCAACACGACGGAGTTTTTGGGCCTCTGTCAAATTATGAGGTATCCACCGGGCAGAAAGCTTCCTAACAGCTAAATGTTCATGGAGGATTTTGTGCACTTGACTCATACCGATGCTTAAGCTTGTCCAAATCTGCTGATAAGTCACTCTTTTGTCAGTCTCGATCATACGCCGCACAACACTGATATTATCTTCAGTCGTCGCCGTAGAAGGCCGCCCCCCACGCAGATCATCGGTGAGATTAGTGCGACCACGTTTAAACTCATTAAACCAGTTGTAAACAGTGGCACAAGATGGGGCTTCATCGTGAAAGGCCAATCGAAGTCTATCATAACGTTCTTGTTGACTTACTTGACATCGAAAGTCATAAAAAATAATTTTACAAAAATTTTCTCGCTTTAAATTCATGCTGACGTGGCACAGACAATTTTCAATTTGCCGCCAAATCGTAAACAAATGACAAATTAATAAAATACATAGACAATAATATTGGCAAAGAGTTCCATTTTCAAAATTTGAACTTATTTTTCATAATATCGTTTACAAGTGGCCAGTTCTAAAAACTTTCAATGTTGCCTTCAGTGCTGCCCTCGTATTATCCTTAAGTAATATTTTTCGTGAAGAAATGTCTAACGCATATTCTCCTCCCGAGGCCAAAAACAACAGCAACGGCGTGTGACTTACAAAGGCACACGGTATTCAATCTTCGCCGCATATCGGCAGGGTCACAAGAACACTCACGCATATACCTTTGTACACGGCTACAATCTCGAACTCGTAAAATATGTGTGTGTGAATAATTAAATAATATAAAATAATGGACCCCACAATTGGTCCCAGAATAACGATACTGCGAAATAATCTATTGCAGTTGATCACATTTCCACCGAGAAGTTAAACGGTAATACGACGAAGCCATGGCAAAGGATTTTATTTTATTTAAATAAAAAGGATAAGCG